GAGGGACAAGTAGGAGGACACCACTTGAGCACTGGGTGATTCATGGGGAATGAAGACGTGGGCTCTAGGAGAGGCTAGAATTCCGATGTGAAAGACCTGGAAAGCCACCCTAAGGAGTTTAGACTCGCTTTTCTGGCAAAAGAGAGCCATCAGAGATGGGAAGTGGCATAATCAGATGTGGTCTTCATACGATCTCCTGGCATTGCTTTAGAGGAACAATTGAATGGGGAAAGGAAGGTACTGGAGGAAACCCTGAGAAAGCTGTTGTTGTGAGTCAGGTGAAACATATAAGCCTGAACCAGGGTGGCCACTGTGGGAAATGAGAAGGCCGTAGATGTTGAGTCATTCAGATGGTAAAATTGGCAGAATTTGATGACTGGTGATGGGAAGATGTGTGTGCTATTTTATATTAAGCCATTTTTGAATTTTTATAAAGGTTTCTTTGGTATAGTGGTAGACATAAGGATGCTCTGTTTATTACCAGAATGGTTGGTCACCTTTGTCAAAAAGATGCATGAGACATTCACTTTGCTTTGTTTTCCTGCAGTATGTTTCAGGTGTCAGATACGTGCTAAGGCACTCAGTGTTTACCCGAATAACAAATTGTTAGATGGGGGTTCTAGCTAACAGTATGGAGACTACATAAACCCTCTCCTTAGACCAGACACTGTGACAGTACCTTAAGCAGGGAGACTCTCTGGTAGCCCCTGAATAAACTGGATTATTTGGCCAGAGCTTCCGCATTTACTTCAATGATGTGTATATATCTCCTTCAGAATTAACTATGACTTTAGAGGTGCTCTCCTGACCCATATAGTCTGATTTGGAGTTACTATACTGTTATTCAAGAGTACTCTCGGTCACTTATTCATTCAATACCCCTCTATTAAAACCAATGTTGGAATAACTGTGGTAGCTTCAACTTTCAGGTAGTGTAGTCAGGCTCCTACCCTGAGGGAGTATCATCAACTTGTGGAGAAAAGACATTGACACAAATAATAGATAGAAGGAAGCAGTGCTGTTAATCCCAAGAGAGAGGCATAGGAGTGTACACCTGGAATTTACACCTGGAAAAACAGAATTCTCTCTTATGGCAGAGGTAGAGTTTAATGTGGACCTTAAAGTAGGTTTTAGGTTGGATTTTAATACT